GTCCTTTGCATTAGCTACAATTGCAAGCGGTGAAAAGGTTCTTTTCTTGAATTCTCATTGAAATAATGGATGATGATGCCAGGTCATGACCTGAAACTTTAACTTCAGTTCTCTCTTCACAGATCCTGCTGAGTATTTCCAGGGTTTTTTGTTTCTCTATTTCATTAGGTTTCCTTAGTTTAAGGATTGGTCAAATGTTGCATTGATATCAATGTCAGTCAATCTAACCTCACCTCTATAATCCTACTCTTTTAGTTTTTTAAAACAAAACCTGTTTGGACATTGTATGAAACACCTATGGGGCAGCTGGAACTTGAACATGGACCTTCTGACATGAAGATAGGCACCATATAGCCCTAATTCTACTCTCTTATCTATGTTTGGAACAAGACTGTAGTGAAACCTAGTGCCATTTGGTCCGATTACAATGCAAACTGCAAATTGCAAGCACCACCATTGATAACACCATCTACTCCAGTAGACTGATGTGATGGTAGTTGACCAGATTGGAATTATCTGACTTTTTTTTGTGGACAGGATGTAAATGTGGCAATCTTCCACTTTGTCAGGAATATGTTAGCTTGACTGAAACAACTAGTGACAGAGCATGGCTATTGCTTAAGGACAAGTCTTCAGCATTACAACCAGTACCTACATTTGGCCTTTCCTTGTTATTCAAATTTTAACTATTACAGCATACATACCCAATTAGGTTCCATCCATGGTCACAAGTAAACACTTATTGGGACTGCTATTCATGATTCCATTACTATTCTTTCATAACTATTAGTCCTTTCATCATTTCCCTTAGATCCTTACTATCCACTTTACCTCTTTTATCCCAAAATATTGGGAGAATCAATCTCAATTTCAAAGCCAGGATCATCATGCTAATTTTTACTGATGTAATGTGTGGCAAATTTGAGTCACAGAGTCATACAGCATGCAAACAGACCGTTCAGTCCTACCAGTCCACGCCAACCATAATCCCAAACAAAACTAACGCCATTTGCCTGTGCTTGGCCCATATCCCTTCAAACCCTTCTTATCCATGGATTTATCCAAAAGTCTTTTAAACATTGTAACTGTATCCGCATCCACCACTTCCTCTGGAAGTTCACTCAACACACAAATCATTCAAATGTTGCCTCTCTTGTCCTTTTTAAATCTTTCTCCTCTCACCTTTTTGGGAACCCTGTTATCTCACATCCCCACTCCAACTATTTCCTCTCCAGACAAGACAGATAGATCGAGATTGTTGGAAGTCTAGTCACCAGGATATGTTGCAACTGAATGAAAATTAAAGATGAGGTTCCAAGATTGCAACTTGCTAGTCATGTTTAATCATTTCCTAATCATTCAACGTTGTAGCTTTTGAACAGATTTAATGGGACTTTAAGAGAAATTTCTATAGGGATTCACTGTACGTTACACAGCTGCATCTAAATATATCGAAAACAAAAAATGCTGGAGATCACAGCAGGTCAGGCAGCATCCATGGACAGAGAGCAAGCTAATGTTTCGAGTCTGGATGACTCTTCATCAGAGCTGAAGCATCTAAATATAATTCTGTTAAGACAACTGCTTTAATCATCTAAAATATCAATGTTAAATTAGGTGCCCAAACACACCCCAGATATTGCATACACCACTCCACACTCTCAGGGTTTCATCGCGGAAGCAGTGATGCAGACATTGGAACACACAGTCCTTCCTATAATCCAACCGAAACTGTGGGTAAGATATGTAGATGATATATTTTAATAATCAAAGCACAAAAAATAGAAGAAACCCAAGAACTTGTCAACAACATCTTCGCAAACATAAATTTCATTAGAGAGGAAGAAAACGACAAACAGCTCCCGTTCTTAGATGTAACAGTAGACAGACTGACTAACGGTGAATTCCGGACCCGAGTATGCAGGAAGGCCACTCACATGGAACAAATCCTGAACTTCAATAGCAACCACCCCACCATACATAAACAAAGCTGCATCAAGACACTATTTAGAAGAGCCTCATCACATTGCAACACCCCAGAACTCCAGAGAATGGAAGAAGAACATCTACACAAAGTTTTCACCGACAACAGATACCCAAGAAGTTTTGTCGCAGATGTCTACAAAACAAACAACAAGTCAGAGGACACTGTACAACAGAAGAAACTAGCAACACTACCCTACATCAAAACTACATCAGAAATGACTACCAAACTCCCAAGGCCGCGTAAGATCATGATTGCACACAAACCTACAGCAACACTGCGCCAAAGACTAAAGGCCCCATACCGACAGTAAACAAGGCCAACATGATATACAGAATACCACGCAGCGAGTGCAATAAACATTACATTGGACAAACAGGGAGGAAACTGATGACCAGGATACACGAACACCAGCTGGCAGGAAAAAGACACAAGCAATATTCACTTGTCTCAGTACACACAGACAATGAGGGCCATCAGTTCACAAAGTAACCATACTGGGACAAGTGAACACCAGACATGCAAGGGAATTTCTGGAAGCCTGGTTCTCAACACAGGTCTCCATTAACAAACACATAGAAATAGACCCTGTATACAGACCGCTGCTAAAACAACAGAACCGGAAGAGACAAGACAATCACACCAGAGGAACATATAAATCCGGAAGGAAGCAGAACACCAACGCTTTGATTAGAGGTCGCACTGATGATGTTGCCTCGAAGGGTAATGAAACGTCTGCACACCACAGAACAACTGGCTTGGCGAGCTAACGAATAACTGCACCACTCCATACACTCCAAAGCTTGACAGAAAACCATTCAAAACAAACAAAAGTAATGAAAACCAGGTGGCAATAGGAAATTCTGAAGAATAACACATTTTTAAATAAGGCTTCCACTGTCTATGCCCCTGTAAAGTAAATTCCACCTTCAGGGCCAAGGAAAATTGGAACAGGAGTAGGCCATTCAGCCCCTTGAGCCTGTTCCACCATTCAGTGAGATCATGGTTGATCTCTGGCCTAACTCCATATACATGCCTTTGGCATGTATCCCTTAATACCTTTGCTTAACAAAAGTTTATCTATCTCAGATTTAAAATTAATAACTGATCTAGCATCAACTGCTGTTTGTGGAAGAGACTTCCACAAGTTTATCACACAGTGTGAGTAGAAGTGCTTCCTAACAAATCTGCTGAATGGTCTGGTCCTAATTGTTAGACTGTGCCAATTCATTCTTGAATCTCCAACCAGTGGAAATGGTTTAGATTTCATAGAATGGAAACACAGTGTGGAAACAGGCCCTTCAGCCCAACAAGTCCACACCGACCTTCCAAGCAACCCCCAAAACCCACCTAATCTACACATCCCTGAACACTACAGGCAATTTAGCATAGCCAATCCACTATGCTGCACATCTTTGGACTGTGGGAGGAAACTGCAGCACACGGAGGAAACCCATGCAGACACGGGGAGAACGCGCAAACTCCACACAGACGGTCGCCTGAGGGTAGAATTGAACCCAGGTCCCTAGCACTGTGAGGCAGCAGTGCTAACCACTGAGCCACTGGGCAGCCTGGTGGCTCAGTGGTTAGCACCACTGGTTATTAACCTTGTCTTTTCCAGTTAATAACTTGAAGACTTTGATCTGTGAAGAGAAAGCAGAGTTAACATTTTGAGTTCAGTGATCCTTCTTCAGTTCTGAAAAAGTCATATCAGACTCAAAATGTTAACACTCCTCTCTCTCCACAGTTGCTGCTCTCTCTCTCTCTCTCTCTCTCCACAGTTACTTCAGGGATTTCTGTTTCTGTTATAAGTATGAAGTGCTTGATTCACATGGTTATGCCAACAGCTCACTCTGTGTTACTTTCTCCAGAATTTCCCCAGTTCAGAAAGATCAATCATCAATACGCACTTATATGAATAATTTACTTGTTTACTTCTAACATCTACTTTTGTGCACTAAAAACAATAGCCCAAATTTTCCAACAGGGGAGAGTCTGACTTATGTCACTAAAGTATGCCAAGACCTCAAGGAAGTTCCAACATCTATGGTACCTATGCAGGAAGATTAAATTTCTGGAACTAAAACAAAGTTGCTGGAAAAGCTCAGCAGATCTGGCAGCATCTGTGAAGGAGAAAACAGAGTTAATGTTTCGGGTCCAGTGGTCCTTCACAGATGCTGCCAGACCTGCTGAGCTTTTCCAGCAACTTTGTTTTAATTCCTGATTTACAGCATCCGCAGCTCTTTCAGTTTTTATTTAAGATTAAATTTCTGATTGTTGGTTTTACTCTGCTCAGATTGATGCACACATCATACAAAAGTGGGTCAGATGACCAGAACCATGGAAACACAAGTCATTGGCCCTAAACTTATCTTGCTTTATACACGAATTTACTGAGAACTTTTCAAAACAGATGTAAAGACTGCTCAGGAGCATAACTCTCAGTAATTCAGCTAAAGCATCAAAGCACAAGGCCAGCAGCAGCACTCTTGATGATGCTGAACCCCCTAATGACATGGAAGTGGGTGAATTCTATAGCGGGCAGTGGGGGTGTGAGTGGAAGGGTGGGGCTGCGAGGTACGGCTTTGAGCTTTGCTGGGGGAAAGGTGAGGGGGGGTTAGTTAGCAAAATCAGTGGAGTGAAGCTCTGCAGTTTAATGTTGGCAGGTCCCTTTAAAACAGTGCAAGTCAATGGACTGAAAACAGGCCGTAAAGGTGTCTTCAGTTCACAATGAGCAAAAACGGTGCATCTTATCTGGAATTATGCTCAACATGTGACTGCCTAACTCTACTTAGCTTTGCTAGAGCAGGCAAAGAGAGTGCAAAGAATCTAACAAAAATGGGAAAGGGCCAGATTTAATCACATTCAGTGTCAGGTGCTCCCTCTGCAATGCAGGCTCCAGACGACGTGAGACATTCCTTTAGTCTAAAATGAAATCATCAAATGACGTTAGAATAAGAGAAAAAATGTTCCATTTTACTAGTTGCAGCTGAAATAAGAGACAAGACACACTCACATGTTGCCAGTCATCCAGAATAACTGGCTTATACCTCAGGAAGTACTTCAGGGGAATTGAATCTGGCTCCGGCCATGTTAATGGGTTCCTCCATTTAACTTCCAGTCTGCGAGGGGAGTCAGGAATTGTATTGACTTCAATTATCTCTGGAGGGTCTGGTTTCACTAGAAAGAGAAAACAAAATCAGCCCAATAAGATTTTTTTTCAAATTTAACACGTGATTCCACAATGTTTTTAAAAATGTTCAATTCAAAGTCAGCCCTGAGAGGTGAAGCAATTTTAAATCACATTCACAAATGACATAAAATGAAAATTTTCATTCTCATCAATTCCTAATTCTTTGTTCTTTTCATAGGTGGTATGACCCCTCTTCTCTGTTGTCATTTTTTCATTTCTACAAAACTCAAAATCTTACTCCACCACCACCACCTGGTTAAAAGGGATTATTTGGTTGATAGGGAAGCTTTTCCTGTTCTGATGTGTATTTGCAACAGCCTGTAGATTGGTTCCCAGGGGTTGCAAGGAGCTTGGACTGACAATCAGTGCCTTGAATATAGAGGGCCCACCGTGCATCAATATCATCAGCAGCTTACGATGGGAGCTCATCAACATGCTTGGATCAACAATTAACAGCAAGTTGGGTAATGAGTAAATGGACAATGAGTGCTGGCTTAGCCAGCAACACCCACATTTCATGAATAAATAAGCAAAAGGTTTAGCGATAATACCACTAGGTCATTGCCCTCCCTTTCAAGCTGACAAGCACAATATAAAAGATATCTTAAAGTGGATAACATCTCAGAGGTGCATCAAGGCCCATACATGCAGAATGTCATCAAGGTTGAAAATTAGAACAGGAGAGAGATTCTCTTTGGTGAGCAGGATAATCCTGCCTTAAAGCATAGTTTTAACACGAGCTAAAGAGGCCCAGACAGGTTTGATAAGCCCAGCATAGGTTTAAGGTGAGAGTGGAAGGATGTGAAAGGGACCTAAATGGCAACTTAGTCATGCAGAGGGTGGTATGTATATGGACTGAGCTGCCAGAGGAAGTGATGACGCAGGTATGATTACAACATTTAAAAGGTGTCTGGATGGGTATATGAATAGGAAGGGTTTAGAGGGATATGGGCCAAATGCTGGCAAATGGGACTAGATTTACATAAGGTATCTGGTCAGCATGGACGAGTTGGACCGAAAGGTCTGCTTCTGTGCTGTGTATCTCTATGACTATGACTCTATGATGATGCTTAAGTCAGCGTTGCATCAGATTTGCTCACATCTGAGTCTCCTGAACTTGTTAGAATAAAGATAGCAGACATATGGGAGAATGACCAAGATAGAAGGAAGGAAAGAGAAAACAGAGTTAACGTTTCGGATCCGGTGACCCTTCCTCAAGCCCAGCATAGGTTTAAGGTGACAGTGGAAGGGTGTAAAGGATGTGGAAGGATGTTCTGAGGTAGGGTCACCGGACCCGAAACGTTAACTCTGTTTTCTCTTCCACAGATGCTGCCAGACCAGCTGAGCTTTTCCAGCAACTTTGTTTTTGTTCCTGATTTACAGCATCCACAGTTCTTTTGGTTTTTATTTAGAAGGAAGGAAAGGTTTTGCCAGGGACAAGGAATCAAAGGAACAGATAAGTCACTGGCTGAATGGCTCCAGTACTATCATGATGAATAGAAGTTCCAACAAAGGTGAGGAAGCTGGAAATTTTAAAGTGCAGTTGTGAAAGATACTTTGGAACAGGTGATTTTAATTTTGGGGGTGGGTAGGTGGGTAGATGCATGCAGAAAGTAAAAGGATTAAGGAAAATATTTGTGACTAGGAAATGGTCAGAGATGTTTCTCAGTATTGAGAATAATCAAATACAAAGCTACAAGAAATGGCAAGGGGTTATCTGTCAACATGGGTAGGTAATTTTACATAGAAAGATGGGAAGATAAGCATGACATAGCCACTTCATTTTGGAAACGTTATGTTCTTCCTAGACAGAATAAAAATGGCCTCAAAAAATATCAGTCCCAATGGGGACCATAACACAGGAAAGTAAGTAAGAAAGATCACCTTCCAAATATGTCTTATTTCTGGTAAGTTAGAACAAAGAACAAAGAAAATTACAGAACAGGAACAGGCCCTTTGGCCCTCCAAGCCTGCGCCGATCCAGATCCTCTATCTAAACCTGTCGCCTATTTTCCAAGGATCTGTATCCCTCTGCTCCGTGCCCATTCATGTATCTGTCTAGATACATCTTAAATGACGCTATCGTGCCCGCCTCTACTACCTCCGCTGGCAACGCGTTCTAGGCACCCACCACCCTCTGCGTAAAGAACTTTCCACACATATCTCCCTTAAACATTTTCCCTTTCACCTTGAAAGCGTGACCCCTAGTAACTGAGTCCCCCACTCTGGGAAAAAGCTTCTTGCTATCCACCCTGTCTATACCTTTCATGATTTTGTAGACCTCAATCAGGTTCCCCCTCAACCTCCGTCTTTCTAATGTAAATAATCCTAATCTACTCAACCTCTCTTCATAGCTAGCACCCTCCATACCAGGCAACATCCTGGTGAACCTCCTCTGCACCCTCTCCAAAGCTCCACAGCCTTTTGATAATGTGGCGACCAGAACTGTACACAGTATTCCAAATGTGGTCGAACCAAAGTCCTATACAACTGCAACATGACCTGCCAACTCTTGTACTCAATACCCCGTCCGATGAATGAAAGCATGCTGTATGCCTTCTTGACCACTCTATCGACCTGCGTTGCCACCTTCAGGGTACAATGGACCTGAACACCCAGATCTCTCTGTGCATCAATTTTCCCCAGGGCTTTTCCATTTACTGTAGGTTGACTGATTACAGGGACTAATAGGGACACATACCAACTCTCATCCTTTTTGACTGTAAAGGGTAGAATTCCAGGCTAGCCTAGGAACTTAGCCTGAAATAGACAATAGATCTACACATGGCACATTGCACAGAATTTGCCCAGCAGTAAGGAAAAAGGTTTCAGCTGGAAACTGGTTCTGCTGACTTGAAATTCAATTCAATTGATGTGACATATGGCCCACATACCTGGCATTGCACCAGCACTGAACTGCATACACAATGTTACTCAACTGCATACTAGATAGAGTGTCTTTCTGGACTGGTCAAAGCATTCTTTTAGCAAAAAATACCATTCTGGTAACAACTGCATTGTAGCAGTATGAAATAGCTTGCCTAACCTGTTCTAAATGGATGTTAGTAAGGCTTTCGACAAGGTTCCTCATGGTAGGCTCATCCAGAAGGTTAAGATGCATGGGATCCATGGTGACTTGGCCATGTGGGTTCAGAATTGGCATGCCCACAGAAGGTTATGGGTAGTGCTGGCAGGATTCCTTTCAGGCTGGAGGTCTGTGACTACTGGTGTTCCACAGGGATCCATACTAAGACCTCTGCCGTTTGTGGTATATGTAAATGACTTGGATGAAAATGTAGATGGATGGGTTAGTAAGTTTGAAGATGATGCAAGAATGGGTACAGTTGTGGATAGTGTAGGATGTTCTCAAAGGATGCAGCGGGATATAGATCAGTTGCAGGTATGGCCAGACAAATGGCAGATGGAGTTTAATCTGGTAAATGTGAGGTGCTGCACTTTGGGAGATCAAATATTAAGGACAAGTGTACAGATAATGGCAGGAACTGAACAGCATTGTTGTGCAGAGGGATCTTGGGGTTCAAGTCCATAGCTCCCTGAAAGTGGCCACTCAAGTAGACAGGGTGGTAAAGAAAGCATATGACATGCTTGCCTTTATTGGTTGAGGAATTGAGAACAAGAGTCAGGATGTCATGTTGCAGCTTTGATTGGGCCACACCTAGAGTATTGTGTTCAATTCTGGTTGGCACATTACAGGAAGGATGTGGAGGCTTGGGAAAAGATGCAGAAGAGGTTTACCAGGATGCTGCCTGGATTGGAGGGTATGACCCATAAGGAAATGCTAGAAAAACGTGGGTTGTTTTCTCTGGAGGGGCGGAGGCTGAGGAGGGACTTGACAGAAATCTATAAAATTAAGAGATGCATAAATAGGGTTGACAGTCAGAATCTCTTTTGCCAGAGTTGAAATGTCTTAAACTAGGGGACATGCATTTAAGGTGAGAGGGGGCAAGTTCAAAGGTGTTGTGAGGGAAGTTTTTTTTTTACAGAGAGTGGTAGAGTGTGGAATGCACTGCCAGGGGTGGTGATGGAGGCAGATACAATAGAGGCATTTAAGAGACTTTTAGATAAGCACATGAATATGCAAGGACTGGAGGGATATGGACCAAGGGCAGGCAGAAGGAATGCACTTTAGAGTCATACAATCATAGAGTTGTACAGCATGGAAATAGACCCTTTGGTCTAATTTATCCATGTTGACCAAATACTCTAAATTAATCTGGACCCATTTGCCAGCATTTGGCCCATTTCCCTCTAAACCACTCCCATTCATGTACCCATCCAAATGCTTTTTAAATTTTGTAATTGTACTAGTCCCCACCACCTGCTCTGGCAGCTTATTCCATATGTGCACCAACCTCAACATGAACAAACTGTCCTTTAGGTTCTTTTTAAATCTTTTGCTTCTCCCCTCAAAGTTATGCCTTCTAGGACTTTTGAACTCCCCTACCCTTGTCTATTCACCCTATCCATTCCCCCTCATGATTTTAAAAGTCTCTATAAGGTCCCCGCTTAGCCTCCGATTCTCCATGGAAAATAGTCTCAGCCTATTCAGCCTATCCCGATAGCTCAAAACTTCCAGCCCTGACAACATCCTTGAAAGTCTTTTCTGAACCATTCAAGTTTTACAACATCTTTCCTAGAGCAGGGAGACCAGAATTAAATGCAGTATTCCAAAAGTGGTCTAACCAATGTCCTGTACAGCTGCAACATGACCTCCCAACTCCTATACTCAATGCACTGAGCAATAAAGGCAAGCATACCAAACACCTTCTTCACTATCCATCTAGTCGCAACTCCACCTTCAAGCAACTATGAACCTGCACTCCAAAGTCTCTTTGTTCTGCAACACCCCCCAGGACCTTACCATTAAGTGTATAAGTTCTGCCCTGATTTACCTTATCAAAATACAATAAAGTCACATTTATCTAAATTAAACTCCATCTGCTCCTTTGATGCTGCCTGACCTGCT